ATGTGTAAATTTGTGTTTGCAATAGAGGGGTTGTTTGTGTTTGTGTTACAAACGATACAAAATAGCATGTTCTTTCCACTTAGAATTGTGTATACAATTTTGAACTACATTATTATTTTGCATACCGTTATACTGACTTCCAATTTTAAATTCACTGGAAGTATATTATCTGCTTGATATTACACCCAATATACTGAAGTGACTATGCAAGTTATCCAAGGAAACTAAAAAACAGAAAATCTTGTTGAAAAAAGTAGACAAAACTGTTAAAAAGTTACATTCTTGAAATCGTTTTGATATACTGTGATTGTTACAAAATCTCTTTGGTAATTACCAAATAAATGACTAAAATTAATGGTAGCAATTTTTTTATTTTCACTGAATCACGCGAAAGTTGGTTAGTGTTTCTTTAGTTTGCATAGGCTATTTCCGTCATATATTATTTTGAACAGATGCAGAGAATAGCTGCATAAATGTTTCTCATCATTTCATTTATCATGCTGCTTTTCAATATATTACAGTTCAGTCTTTGCAATGTCAAGTGATAAAGCTTGCATGACTTGTACACAATATAAAACTAAATTGCTCTACAGTAATACCTCAATCGTAACATGCCCAGGCAGCCTGGTTAATGTTTATTAATTGGATTAGTATGAATTAAAGTCAAGACAAATTTTGAGATATTAAGAGAACTTAAAATTGTTCACTAAATGGCTTGAAATCGACCATAAATGTAGATTTTAAAATTACAGTATTTTTAACGATTTTTTTTCTTTCTTAATCACAATTATATCTCTTGTGTTATAATCGACTAGAGTTTGTAACTCATTTTGTCTACTGAAGATATAAGGTTCACGTCGACTATCCAGCCAAACGGGAATTTCCAACGAGATTGAGACAGACAGAGAGAAAAACAGAATAAAATAAATATAATTTGCTTTCACGCTCTTGTTGTTTCCTTGGCCCATTTCTTTGTTCTCGTTGGGTGCCTGTGAAATGTCCTGGAAAGGGGTTTCTAATGCGGTGTCAATGTCCAAATCAACTTCGGGTTCGCTCGCTGTTGAAATGTACACGGCCCAATTGGCTTTGGCATCCTTGGAATGTCATATGTTGAACACACTGTACATGCACAGTCATCCGCTGCCCTATAGTGTATGCATCAATATATGACATTATACGACAAGCAATGGTACAGTTGTTATGTATGTAGTTTAACTGTCTAGTAATTACATGTATATAGTAAGAACATAGACCTATTTGATCTATGGTAAAAACAAATTTTAATAGGTTTCAGTAAACTTTAACGGTGCAGTATTTTGGCATCGAAATGCCCTATGTGTCATTTTTAAAAAAAACAGTTTTGATGATTGTATTTTCATTTCAACAGATTAATCATATCGACATCTAAATTAAATGTACAATGTATATGAAATATGGTATGAAATGGCAAGAAAGTGAGTAAAAGAGGCATAAATTATTAAGACGCAACAGATAGAGAGAGAAAGAGGGGGGAACAAAAAAGATAGATAGAAAGAAATATAGATATATAGCGGAGAGGGAGAGGGATTACGAGTAGAAAAGGGAAAGGTAGGCATGATGAGAGAGAGAGAGAGAGAGAGAGGGAGAGAGGGAGAGGGATAAAGAGAAGAAAAGGGAAAGGTAGGCATGATGAGAAAGAGAGAGAGAGAGAGATGAAGAATTAAAACAATCTATAATGAAAATATGAGGGAGAAAGTGCAGTATTCGTAATTTGCAGGTCAATTGTGATCAAATGATCAATGTAATTATTAATTTTGGTATTTATACGTACATGTATTTCATAGTTTGCTTTCACAAGTACTCAAATATAACACTCGCGTTCTCCCCCCCCCCCCCCTCTCTCTCTCTCTCTCTCTCTCACACACACGCACACGCTCACACACGCACTCGCACACACATACACACACATAACTATACACACACACACTCTCTCTCTCTCTATCTCCTCCCCCTCTCCCTTTATTCCCCTCTCACTCATTCACTCACTCTCTCTCTCTATCTCTTTCTCTCTCTCTCTCTCTCTTCTCACCCTCTCACTCTCTCTCTCTCTCTCTCTCTCTCTCTCCCTCTTCTCCTACTCCCCTCTCACTCTCTCTCTCTCTCTCTCTCTCTCCTCCTACTCCCGTCTCACTCAGTCTCTCAGGTACTTAATAAGTATGGGGTCATGATCTGCATGGAGGTACTTATGGGGAGGGGTGGATTTACACTGTAACCCAGAAAGTAAGCGACTTCGTTTTACCTCATTCCATGAAATCTCTACGACTTTAGATCGGTCTATAAAGTTCAGAGAACATATAAAAAATATTTGAAAAGTCTTATTCTAACAATAATGTCATGCAAATAGAACAGAGAAATAGCTCTATTGGCAACAAAATTGTGCTTTATTAAATCAGATAACGTTATAACGGCAGTGACATGAATAGACCAGTTCACGGTTAGCACATCACTGCAATGACCCCGAATATCCACAGATCTTCAAAACATGAAGACGTCCCACTTTGTACATTTTGAAATAATCACTCCTACAGCGATATATAGATAACCTTTGTTTCCCCTTTTCAAAGAATACTTCCACCTGTGTATCATGGAGTTCATTGAATGTGCATGAATGAATAATGATCACATAACTTTCATGAGCACGCATCCAGTATAACGTCTCAGTGTATTTCAAAATTTGTTCTGCAATGACCTTTATCTGCTCATGCTCAGACTGCAACCGTGAACTGGCTTATTAATGTCAGATGAGGAAGTGGGAATCTAACAAGACTATGAACCACTGATCTAGAAGTAATGAGCAAAGACTTATGGTTTAGCCAACTCCATTGCAGATGGACACAACACATAGTATACATGAATAAAGCAATATGCTCCATACTTTGTCCAACTGTATAGCGAGTTAGCCGAACTCTGTGTGTGTATATATAGCTCTGGTTCAGGCGTAAATATTCTAAAAAAGAATGAAACGCCGATAATACCAAACAACAACAACAACAACAACTGAATCCAGTATACATGAACTGGTGAGGGCGCTCATTGTTGAGTACCAAAGATAGAAATCAAGCTCCTCATGAAATCCATACATGATTATTGTGTCTTTTCTTCTTCTTCTTCTTCTTCTTCTTCTTCTTCTTCTTCTTTTTCTTCTTCTTCATCTTCTTCTTCATCTTCTTTTTTCTTTTTTCTTCTTCATCTTCATCTTCTTCTTCTTCATCTTCTTCTTCTTCTTCCTTTTCTTCTCCTTCTCCTTTTTCTTCTCCTTCTTCTTGTTCTTCTTCTCCTTCTCCTTCTTCTTCTTCTCCTTCTTCTTCTTTTCCTTTTTCTTCTTCTACTACTTTTTAGGGTAATTTTAGTCATGTCGCGTATGTAGATCTTGGGCCCCAGTAGGGGGCAAAGTATCTCATCTGTCTTTTTTTATACTATACAAACCGTTCAGTAAGAAAAAAAACTTTGTGAGGGCAGTGGTTATTTGCATTGCAGTACCGGGTGTCGCCTAAAAATTACGTATTGGGGGAAGAAAGGGTACATGTAATGAATGTCTCTATATTTTTGGGCGATTCCATGTGCAATCTTATTAATCGTATTTCCAAAATGATTCCCTAACTGCTAGGTTGTGTAGTATTATACGTCAAGTAAATGAATCACTATAATAGTGATTCGTTCACTTGACGCTTAATCCAAGGTTTGTGGTTCGAACCCCGGCCTGGCACTAACGTCCTTGGTAAGACATTTATCCACATTTGCCACTCTCCACCCAGGTCTGAATGAGTACATGGCAATTGTTAGGAACACGATCACAGCTGCTTTCGAAAAATCGGCCTAAGGCAATATAAATGAATAGCCTTGTGCGTCACCTAGTGCAATGTGCTAACATGACAATGAGGTATTATGCAATGCAAACATTATTTCCATGGGATGTACAACCGGGTATTGAAATTGCCCTCGACTTATTTTTCGAAAAAATTGTGATAATGATGGTTTGGGATAATAATAATTGTAGGGCCGTCGTGAAGAATAGCACCGGAGCTGATGGGCTTCCCTCGGTAAACCTATGAATACTTCCAATGTAAAACAAAAAATGACAGTAGTGTTTCCTCGATCTGAAATCTGTCGGGGGGGGGGCAGATAAAATCACAAAGGATCCACTCGATAACCGAATGCAACTACCTGTTTATCAGTGCAGGACCCCCAATTACATCCTAATCTGAGACATTTGAGCACAATGATGTACCGCCGACTTATTATGATGCTCAACAATGGCATACAACTGTTTGTGGTACTTTCCTCACTTGCATGGCGAGATAGATCTGTCACGGTTCATCGATTATAGGTCTATACCAGGTATGTACGCAATCACCTTGAAGTATTGTAGAGGTAAAGACTGAAAGACAATTATGTCTAAAAATCCATATCATCAAACCTTCTTTACAGTAACAGTCGATCAACTGTTAAGAAAGAGCATGGGTGTGGAAGGCATAGTACCAAGTCATGCAACGTACCCTACGTCTAGACTCCTGCCTCGAAACATTTTATTCTTGTTGAAATAACAATCATACTAGGGGGCCTTTACATAATCAACATGCTGGATCTAGGTGCTAAATGAGTTTTCTGCTATATTCTTGAAAACAGTTCATCACGCTCATAATGTTACCAGGCTGTTCGTGTCATGTAAGCATGCATCTGCAACAGATCTCCGAAGTCGGAAGCGCTCAAACAAAGGAAGTGAAGAAGCCTTAAGAACGTAAAGTTTGAGACCCTTTTTTTACCTGAACTGAAGTGGCATCGCCTTAAGCAAGTGGTTAGATCGTGGTCTGTACTGTGTATAGGCTCCACCGATGTGCGTCAACGTCTCGGAATACAATAAAGAACTATTTTTTGGCTTTAGCAGGGTCCCACGGAAGGGCAGTTTTGACATTTGTACAAAGCCGAGTTGGTATCCAGCCATTAACCTACTAGTAGGCCTATTCCTGATTTTGTAATGCACTTTTCTACCTCGGATGTATGGTTTTTATATCTTGATTTAGAAAATAAATATCATACCATACCATACCTGGACATTACTCAATACGTCAACGGATAACTGCATTTTACTGGAGAGGAAGAGATTGGAATGGCATCAATCAAAATGAGCGTTTTGTGATTCACGTGTGTTATCACCATAAACGAGGAACAACAACTTTGCTGAAATTTTAATCTTTGTATTTTCACTCGAATGTGGTAAAATGCAGACGTGATTCTCTTTATAAAGTGGGCAAAAATTATCTTTATTTTCAATTTGTGAAATTCAGCAGTGTTGTCGAGGAAGCCTAATCAGTTATTTCAAACATGATGCTACTTTAGGGGCCACCTGTGTAGAAAGACCACCTGTATAAAGACTACAATATCCCCCGTGAACAGGGTTTTGCATTGAAACGGTGGGGGCTCCTGGAATAACCTTCTCATAAAGACCTCCTACTACAGAGACTATATCGGTTTGGCTCCATTGCTAGCGGTCTTTGTATACAGGTTTCATCGCTGAGACATAAACCATAATATGCCCACCTATGATAATTTCTACGCGTCCGTTGGAAAGTTCACTTCGGCTTTCGTGCCCATATAAAGAGGGAAGAGGTCGTATATCTTGCAATCCGATTGAGAGTTTCATTGCCCCTCTCAAACAATCAACATCCGGCTAGTTACACAATGAGGACAGTTTAAAACAGAGTTTGGATCGAAAGACAGTGACGTGATTCATGGCTCTATAGAAATAGTCATCCAAGCAACTTGTCGATATTGGCATGCTCAGGACATGCTTAGTCATAATGTGCCATTTAACCTCACGATGTGAATCTCCTAGCATTGGATTTAACAACTCCTCTCTGGCCTCAATCTCTCTCTCTCTCTCTCTCTCCATAACGGATTTGTAAATGGATTCGATTGATTACCTGCGACGAATATTAATCAATTGACGCCCATTCCTGGAAGCGGATATATTCGTACACTGTAAATACAGCCTACGTTCCATCAAACTAATTATAATCTTAACACGGAAGGCAGGATTATGTAACAGGGTGCATGCTTGTTGTCGGGCCAATGGGTTCCATTAATGACTTATTCCAATGCCACTTTTGACGCCGTCGATACCAGAACGAATCTAGACTAATGAGATTGGGGGTCGTACTGAAAGGGAAGGTTCGACCATTACTAATCTCTACGTACCCATTGTAACTTACAATTCTCCACCACTGCCAATGTTTGTGGAAATTCTTATAGGCAGATACCATTAGTCTGCGTCGGAAATGAATCATGGACAATTACTTCTTGCATAGCAACCCGTGTCGTCTGGACCAAGATATTGAGAAGTTGACGGAATGGTAAGATATTGATTAGATTATTGGCAAGTTCAAAGTGTTTTATTCCATACGTTACCGGACAACTTGTAAACGTTTTAGGTATTTGGGCAAGTCCATGGTATTTGATCATTTGGTGTCCCGTAAGTTATCGAGTATCGTAGGATATTGATTGTAATCGACATATTCAGAGTATATTATATCTTCATATTTTATCTACTACGAGCTAGAGCAAGGCTATCTAATTCATAGAACCAGGTATACGAAAATTGGATTAAATGGCATTGCAGTGGTTTGTTTATTAATAAGATTTTATTCCGGCCACATGCGTGCCGAATGGTATTATATAATTATTGAGGTAAACAAATAAGATCGGATGAACTTAACCTTAGGGAAAATGGTACATATAATGTGTAATGTTCACTTGTCATTTTCCATGATTCTTTCAAACTTAGGAGACATCAAAATACCAAATAACTTTGGAGTTGTATATTCGTTGTAATCTCTGTACATTATGTTTTAGTCGGGATATATTTATATTTTTCAACCCACATAATTAATGTTATCAAAACAACAGCCGATAGTGATATCAAGTCACATATATCACCTATGTCTGACTGGAATGATATAGTATTTTTTTTTTTTAATAATTTTTTTTCCCCTTCCACAGGGTTCTTTATTTTCAAAACAAATTTCATCATATACAGAACATCCATATATCATATACAAATAATTAAAGAAATAATTTCCATATATAATGGCTTGACACAGATAATAATCATCACGGCCAAAAACTTTTGTGGCAGATACAAACAAACATTTATGACAAAATTAGTACTTTAAATATATAATTTAAAAAAAATACCAAACATAAAATACATGATCATGTTTATGTTAGCACATTTCCAACACTCTCAAAATATTTTCTAAAGTGAAACCATTTCTTTTTTAGTTTATTCTCTCTGAGATTTGTTTGGTATATATATTTTTCCATTTCATAATAATGTTTTACAGCTGATAAAATTATATCAAATGATGGTAGTTGATTTCGTAATTTAGCTGAAAATATTTCTTGTCTCACAACCATCAGAACACAGTTGAGTGCATTATTATTGCTACCGCAAAATCCAAACAATTTATTTTGATTTGTAAATTTGATCCTTTCCCCCGTATTACGAAATATCCAGAACTCTAACTTCGACCATACTTCATTAGAATAGTTACAAAAGCAAAAAACATGTATGATAGTTTCATCATTGTTACTACAAAAAGTACACTTCTTGTCAGCCACTACACCAAATCTTAACAAACTGTCCTTCATATATAATATTCTATTTAAAATCTTGATTTGAAACCACCTCATGTTGATATCTATTGTTGACTGAAATGGAATTTGACAGTACGAACCCCAAAGTACATCTTGAAAATCTAAAAAACTTTTCCACTTTGTAAGGGCTTTACATTCTTTTACTTTGTTTTTTAGCAAAGACTGATAAATATGTGAACAACCAACATTTGTTTTCACCACAAGGTGCACGGCTTCGGGAATGATAGGTGCTAAGGCCTTACTAAGAGCTACATGTGTAGTCATTTTAAAAATGATATAGTATTCCTTCCATATCGGACATGAGAAAACATGTCTCGTGCTGTTTGCGGTCATATTTCAGAAAAACGGCTGAATTTCAAATTACCTCACTGAAAGTTTATTTAGGCTTTAACGAATATAATGTTGAATGAGTCATCTCATAACGACATGTAAAACCTCTATACGGGATGGCAAAAACGTAATTGTGTTCTCATGTTATCTCCTGCATAAAAATACACAATGGTTTAAGATAAAACTATGAAGCGTAGGTTGATGCATTTTGTGAAACCTAGCTTGCATTTCAACATTTTAAAGATACTATCAGTGCGTAGTATCCTTGAACGAAGGAGTATTGGCCATTTAAAGGTAATTAATAATAATAAATAACCACATATCATTAATTCTTGTAACCATATTCATATTATACAGCATTACCTATAACTGTTTTAAAAACCTTTGATTTTGTAATGATTATTTCCATTTTTATTACCTGCCATGAACGATGTCCCTGTCATGTTTTGTCATGTATGTTTCTTTTTTAGTTTTGTTTGTATATGTAAATCTAAATCTCTTAACTACTGTTCGGGGAACTATGCCTCCACATTTGCCCTTATTTTTTAGTTCCCTATTTTCATTTTCTTATATATTGCAACTACTTATCATGGTATATACCTTTGTATTGTTTTTATTGAATACGAAAATTAATGAAATGAATTGAATGAATTGAATAATAGGTTAGGAAGTTTTTATCGAACTCTCAACCCTTGGATTCAAGATTCAAGTTTATGAACCACTATACCACGACACTGCTATTAATTTGTGCCGGTTCTTGGGCTATAATAATCTTGGGCATTTATTTGATGGCATCTAACAAATGAAATCAGATTTGAATGTGTAAATGTCGATTTTATCAATACAAAAAAAGTGGGATGGAGTAGATTACATTGAACTGTTTGCCATGCAGATAATAATGTGCAGGTGTATACTATTCATTATTCATCTTTCTAATGTTTGACAAATGCAAGGTGGTACTCAGAAGCAGCCAAATCTTCCTTGTTCCTCATAAAATCAGTCAGAAATTCATCTAAAATCTAGATGACACTTTCGCGTATTGGCACAATATTTCCTGGGCCTGAAATCTTATCTCATAATATTGCGAACAACCGAGCAAAAATATTAACACTATTGCAAGTGACATTCTGATTTCATACATCAGAAAAGATATGGAAATAAAAACAGATCGCCTCTCTTCCTAAATATCAGATGGCGGTTGCCCGAATATGGAACGGCAGCAACCATACAGCCCCTGCCCCTCTCCCCTGCATAAAAGTGCCTATCCTCCAGCATTAACTTAGAATTGTTTCATTCTACTTTCAGGGGGTTGGATACTAAATTATCGTTTCATCTGGGACGCCCATATATATTTTTTGCTGAAATTTGAACTAAAAAATTGTGTTAACCCAGGGAAGGCTCATCATCAGCATCAACCATCAATGCTGTTCCTTTTGAGGGTCCTACAGTTATTATTACCCTTAAAACAATATTGCTACATGTAGGTACCCTCCAACCCAAAGGAAGTTAGTGCCGGGCCGGGATTCGAACCCTAATTGACTGACAGTCAAGTGAACTAGCACTTTACAACGTCCTGTCAAGTTAATCTAATACTTTGCCTAGAAAAGCTTCATTAATATGGCATACAATGATAACGCTTTCATAATGTCTTCCCTTTTTTTTCATTGCAGTCTCTGAATCTTAAAGATGTGTGATATAACAACGTTTGTATAGTGACATCGATCAGCATCTCAAGATGGAGCTTTACACAGAAATGTCCTTGATATTTGAGAATTGTACCAACTGTACCGATAATGAGACTGATGTCTATGATCTCTACCCTCACTCGCTCGTCATCGCAGCCATCTACCTCTTCACATCTATATTCGGTATCCTCGGAAACAGTCTCGTCGTCGTCGGCGTGATCGTCACTCCCAAACTGCAAACCCCTACCAATGTGTTGATAGTCAACCTGGCCATCGCTGACCTCCTGACCTGCATGATCCTTCCGTTCCAGATGTATGGTATCCTTAGTGATGGATATATGTTTCCGCGTGTCTGCGGCTTCATAGGGGGTGTAATCTATGTAACATTTACCTGCAGCGCTGTCACTCTGGTTCTGATAGCCATAAACCGATGTTACGTCATTACCAAAAACATACGCACGCCAGTCGGTCTTAACACGCACAAGAAACAGATCTTCTTAGCTATTCTATCATGGATTCTAGCGTGTTTATACAACTACATCCCAATTTACGTTTTTAAATTCACCGAATACTCTTATTATCCTCCCTATAAACAATGCTTCACGAGTCCTACAGAAACGAGTGACTTTTATCATAACTTCCTGGCTTTACTAATCGGGAGTCATATCATCATCATGCTCGGCTGTTACATCAGGATTTTGGTGCATGTGCGACAGCAACGAAAGCTCTTCCATGTTTTCTTCGGGAGCAGTCGTAGCCAGAATATTGAACGACAGCATCACATCAAACGACTCAGTCAACGAGAGGTCAGGGTCACCAAGAACCTATTCAGCATTGTCATTGCTTTCATCTGCTGTACCATCCCTACGGCTGTGGCCTTTGCGACACCTGGGGTACTCCTATCAGGGATATACACCACCGCCATCCTCTACTTCAACAACTGCATCAATCCTGTCGTCTACGCCTTCAGACACCCCGTCTTCAAGAAGTTCTTCAAGAGGCTCTTAATGCGCACCCTTCAGATCGTTCATTGCCCGAAAAAGATGGTGCCCGCGGAAGAGGCCCTAGGAAACGTTGCGCTTAGTAAAATGCCCGAAAGAAACGTCACTATGGCATGTTTATATGCAATTAACGTCAGCCAGATAGTTGCTTTTGAAGGTGTCAAATCTGACTCTATGGAGGTGTTAAACACGTTATAAACTTATAAAATATTGGATGAATAATTATTTTAAAATGTATAACTAAAAATAATGTATTCATTGGTAACAATAATATACAAATGATGCATGCGCATGAGTTCATTATACGATCTATCCGCACTCGAGTTGAGGCTGTGTGTATCTATTGCACGAAGCCGTTAGGCCGAGTGCGATAGATACACACAGCATCAACGAGAGCGGATAGATCGTAGAATGAACGAATGAAAACATGCATCATTTTGTTTTATACAACGAAACTCCTAAAACCTTTTTATTTGATGTAAAAATAATTCATTCAAGATGGATTCGTGACAGTAGTATGGCTGACAAATAAATCTAAAGTTTAAGGCTTAATTTACTGCGCACACGTAGATATAATAAGCGCACTTACCTCTATACCCATTTACGCATAGTGCTGTGCAAGAATAGGCCTATGCACACACAGTATTAAGCGCTAACCTCTACGCGCATTACTGCGCATCATGTACATGCGCTAAAAAAGCCTGCAATAGTACTGGAAATTATATACCTCACTTAAGAAATCCAGCCATCTGATTGGTCGAATTGCATTCATAAACTTCAACTGTTCCTGTAAAATTCCCGGTAACCATGCATAAAACATTTCAATATTTTTAATAACCATGGTTATTAAAAAAATAGGTCAGTCTCCATGGTTACCCCATAGGTTTACATGTTAAAAAATGGTTTGAGCGATGGAGGATACCATACGTGTGCGAAAAATTGGTCGGCAATTTCAATACAATTGAATCTCGATCGATCTTACCGACAATTTTATCTTGCATTTTTGACATGAAGACGAAAATTAACTCTCAAAAACAAAAAAACAACATCTGCCGATAGATCTTGATCTAAGTTCGTGCCAATATGCATTGCAAAAGTAAAAGAAGGGTCCGTTTCATGGAGCTTTTGCGAAGCATCCCTCACGCGGAGCCGTTTTCAATCCATTTTAATGTATATATCGGAGAAAACTGCCAAGCATGTCAACGCCGCACGATAGCCGAGTGGTCTAAGCGTTGGTTTTCGATACACCTCTTGTTGTACGCAAGGGTTCGAATCCCGTCTTCGACAAAACTGCAAATTATTTTTTATTTTTTATTTTTTAGTCTATTTTTTTTCGGCATATAAAAGTATTAATGACTGCTTTAATATTCGAGAAATAGTTGTTTTCATACGCTCTCGGGAAGGTTACAATTGGGCTATTCCCCTCGGCAAGCCTCGGGGAATAGCACAATTCTAACCTTCCCTTGAGCGTAATAAAACAACTATTTCTCTCAAAGCAGTCATTAATACTATACTATTGCACGCCTTTTCATGAAAAAGCTTGCAATAGGCTCAGTAAATGAATCACACGTGACCGCGCATGACCAATCATTTGATTAGGATTAAGCGCTAACCTCTACGCGCATTACTGCGCATCATGTACATGCGCTAAAAAAAGCCTGCAATAGTACTGGAAACTATTGCACGCCTTTTCATGAAAAAGCTTGCAATAGGCTCAGTAAATGAATCACACGTGACCGCGCATGACCAATCATTTGATTAGGATCTGGGAGTGAGTTGTATAAAGTAATGTATGCTTGCCAACTAATTTTAAATATCAACATACATGTATTATATAAATGAAGAATTTATGAATGCATGTATTATAGAAATGAAGGATTTATGAAAACATGTATTATAGAAATGAAGGATTTATGAATACATGTATTATAGAAATGAAGGATTTTTAAATACATGTATTATAGAAATGAAGGATTTATGAATACATGTATTATAGAAATGAAGGATTTATGAATACATATATTAAAGAAATGAAGGATTTTTAAATACAGGTATTATAGAAATGAAGGATTTATGAATAGAGTACACAAATTAATATCGATCATCGATTTTATAACTTCGCATTCCTGTCCTCTCCTGCTTTGTATATCTATGCCGAAATGATTACGATCTCGTATTTCTACTACTGCATCATTTTCTCATTTTACATGTTTTAGTAAGCAAATATATATCCCACATCGGCAAAAAGGTCTATTTAAAGTGAATTTTACATAATTAAAAATACTGATTCTGCAGACAGTTTAGCTTAAGCTAGATTTTACAATGCGCAACATGCATACAATGTAACAAAGTCGATGCGCGCTCATTTGATATTGACATTTCGCGTAACCTACTTTGCTACGCGTATTCAATGGCAAGTGCGGCAGCAGCAAAAAATTCCCTTACAAAAGTCCTATCGCAGGTAGATAGTACTTATCTATCTTTTATCATGTGACCTCGTTTAGATCAATCAGATTGCAAGATTCTTAGTATGCGGGATATAAAACAGACTATCGCAAAGACTTTCGAAAAACTAAATCAAGGGCAATTTCAGTATCCTATTGTATATCCCATAGAAATCATGTTCAGATTACGTTCTCACAGTTATATGTGATGGACAAGACTATTGATACAACCTTGTGTTGATTTTTCGAAACTACTTGTGATGTTGTGATCGCATTTTTTAAATCATTCTCAAAATATCAATAGGATGGGCTCACGACTCTTGATTTCCTCTATCGAACCTAAAGCAAACAAATTGTTGTTTTATCACAGAACCGTTGAAACCGATCGTAAGGTACGTTCCGTACAAAAAAGGGACAGAAGAAGAAGTTTACGGTTAAATATATCATTCGAAAAAGGCTTTCCTACAGGAAAACTGCAGTGTCGAAAACAGAAGGGCCTTAACATGAACAAAAAATAACACTTTCATCTAAATTAATTGAATGGCCAATCAGCAGATCCGGAAATATTGGTTTTGAAAACAAGACAAAATATACCGCACCCAACGGGTTTACTTCAGAAGAGAAAATGGCCATGACTGCTTTAATTTCATCATTGTCTCCACTCAACATAAAGACACATTACGTATGAATAAGTAGACCTAATTTTCAAAACCCCTACCCCCCTCTCTCTCTCTCTCTCGCTCTCTCATCTCGCGATGGAAGGGGGGGGGGGGTAAGAACCCCTGTCCCCCATCCCCTGCCAGCCCTCTCCTACCACTCCTCAATCACTGCACCTGTTTTACATGTGAATGAAGCATCGTCAAGCAACAGGGTTCAGGGAACGCTCAAAAGATAGATGAGCACCAAATGTCACTTTATCTCTTTTATATTGAGTTATAATGTGATCACACACCGCACTGTCCAGTCGTTTGTGTTGAAAGGTAACAATTAAAACCACTGATTTATTAAAGGGGCACTCGCAGTAATCATACTAGTAATATAACGCACTTATACTGCCCCATCTATCTAGAAAAACTATTCCGAAGATTAAGAAAAGACAGAGAAGAAATACAAAAAGTACACATTTTTGCTGAATTTCAACGAAGTACTGTATTCTTGTTAGTTTCCATAATGTTAGTAATTTGAAATAAGTATCGTGAATGTAATCGATCAAGTTTGAATATATATGTAGTAATAAAACTTCTTGATCCATGATACCAAACCTTGTTGCACAAACGAGATTATTTCAGTTTCTATTTTTTTGCAACTTCGAATAATTATCACAAATGTTAATCATGTTATATGGAATATACATCATGTTATATGATATATAGAATCAGCTTTCGTAGTCGACAAACCGTTTGAAACCTAACGACGTGCCCTTTAATTTCAGAAATATTTTGTGATGGAAAAGAATAGTTGTGTGGGTGCGCCCCTTACGTTCTATCCCATACTTAACCTATACAGTCAGTGATCATAAAAAAAAGTAAAAACCAACCTGGAATAAAATCATTACAAATGATTTCATTCCAGGTACGTTTCCTTTCAGATTGATCCTTGCCGAATTCCACCCCCACCCCCCCCCCCCCCCCCACCAATTTTGTTTGGTCGCCTCGAAACCCATCGGGCGAAAACCACATTTGGCAAAATGTGGTTTTCTTACTTCTGTTTACCCTCGTTAACATACGTATATATATAGGAATATTGGACATTGTGGTTTCCAGGCAAGGTCACTCTTTTGTCTCTCTCAGAGCTCTCTCCTTCTCTCCTTCTCTCTCTCTCTCTCTCTCTCTCTCTCTCTCTCTCTCTTTGTATCAACAAATCTAGGGTCCATGAGTAATAAACCCACATCGTTTACACAATATAAACTAAAAAGGAGAACAACAACAAACACTACACACACAATCAGTTCCATAACAAAATGTTACTTGTACAATCGTCTGCTGAAGATATTGTCTTCAACTTAAAATTAAGCTTGAGTTCTAGTAATGATAGAAAATGAATTCTCACAGAATCCAACAAAGCTTACACTGAATGTTCAAGCTAACAAATAAATGACATGCGCAAGACGATTTTAGTAGAACACTATAATAGATTAAGTAATGAGCATAGAGAGTTTACCCTAAAAAGGCCGGGGTATTTGAGGTCTTAGTACGACGCGGCCGCGGTTAGGGTTAGGGTTAGGGCCGCGGCCGGGCCGGCCCGGGGGGGGGGGGGGGGCTTATCCCCCCATAAGATCTCGGCCATGAAGCGGCCGATCTCCGCGAAAATGTGCACGCATTTCAAGTGAAGTGTATAGATTACTATGATAATTTCAATTTTTTGAAAAATCCACTCATTTGCATGTTCATGTTAATTTATGCAAATAAGGTCATAAAATTACATTTTTACCCATTAATCATATATTATTCATATTTAAGCATTCTTTTTCACTACATATATTCATTAGACCATTCTGAATAATAATACGACAAAAAAATTGGAAGAGCCAGCTTATTCCTTTTGTTATCCCTTGTTTTGATAATTTCTTATGTATTTCATTGTTTTTTGTTTTTTGTTTTTTCATTTCTAACTACAATTCAACTATTTTGACTCCCAAAACAACCACCTCAACTTTAAACAAGACCCAATAACCCATGTTTGATCTGTTTTTAGACAAAATGACTTTTCTATATGTTTTGTACACAAATCCCGAAAATGAGCGATTTTCGGGCTGACATACAAAGACAAAAGGTCACGTGACCTTGTAACCGTACAGTTGTGTAGGTCCGATTTTCAAAAAAATAATTTTAGAAGTTGCGCAAGACTCGGAAGAAAAAAGTCAGCGAGCGGCGGGGCGCCATCCATATGCGTTCCCGAACAATCAGACAAATCGTGGAGGGGGGGGGGGGCATGATGGCCCCCCCCCCCCGGCTTTATTAGGGATAAGGGAAATCAATGTTAGTATATGCATGTACAATGTGCAAATGAGAGTGTTTTTTTAATTGAAGATGATTTCTAGCAAGCTTTGTGTAAGTTTGTTTTTATTTTTACTGGTTCAAACAATCAAATACTGCAGGATAAAAAATCCAGAATTAATTAAAGCCATGTTCCCTCAACATACGATATCCATATTGGAGCTCAAGATTAGAGCCTCCTTCCTGCGTGATGTAATATTTAAATAAGTATTCATGGCATGATAATAACATGATTCGATTAACTAAATACATGTACGATTCACAAATTGCGAT